GAAGTGGAAGCAACAAAAGCAAAAAGAAGACACATGGAAGGCAACATAGTTGGGACGGTAAAATGACTGAGGAGTTTATTCCAAGGCACCTATCGATGCGACAGGCAAAGCAGAACCATTTGACAGTATCAATAGGTTCAACAAGATCCAATAAATCCATAAAGAAAGTATGAATTATCAAGTGTTGTTGGATAGGTTTGAAGAAGAAGACGAGAGAAAAATACTTCAAGTTACTTTTGGTGGGCAATCAATCCTTTTTAATTCATGTGTTTGTAATAGAAAGTTTGAGGTTGATAACTCAACTTTCTTCTTGATTGGCATATTTTTACATTATTTAAGCATCCTCATTTTGTAATATCATCATGGAGTGTATTACAAACTCTGTGGTGATCAGAAAATACTTAGTTCTCTCTAGCTCTTACTTTCTTCATGCGTGTTAGGTAGTAGACACTAGGTACTTCATTAGGATTAGTAAGATAAGGCCTAGCCCCCCTTGCTTGCACTTATCCCTATTGATTTTTTTTATGTTTAATAAAAGGCCACTAGACACTGTCTAGTGGTAAATTTGCGGGGGGGGAAATAACTTGAGTTCCAAATAAAATAAATAAGGGTAGAAGAATAAAGTTACATCATTTCTTAATCCAAGTGCAAAGTAAAAATATAACATATAAAAAGGAACGGAGGGAGTACAATTATTAAAAGGGAGATTGAATAGACGAGGAGGCAGAGGAAGAAAAAGAAGAAAAACCAAAATAGAATATCAACCGTTGAGAAGTCTTGATTTCAAAAAAGCATATTTGTTGCAGTTACTAACTACTCTTTATGTAAATTACCTTGTAATTCTCTGTCAAAAGAAAATTGGCTAGTGCTCCAACTTGCAATGTTGGTCATAACATCTAGGAGACGCATTCGGCAAAACTTAATAATTTTGACTCTTGACTTAATTTTTTATCCGAAAAAATTAAATTCTTCATTTTAAAACAAATAAAAAATAACCAAAATATAATTTTTTGATTTAACGCAAATAGTGCACATCTCTAAGCTTGATATTTAAGTGAGAAAAGTAGGAGGCAGACAACAAATCTATCAATAAAAAGAAAAGAAAAAGAAAGGAAGTAATTAATAAAGGTTGTCCATAAATGTAGAAAAATTAAGGGGTCTTTTTCTTTGGCAGAAAAGAGAGAGGGATAACCATAATGATTGTGGTAGAGTCATAATTACTCCTTCATTCTTAACTAAACATTTTGAATTCAAGCCTTGGACATTGAGTAACATTTGTTAGGAAGTGTTTTACTCTCAATACGAGACTTGAATTTCAATGCGAATCTGAATTAAGTCATGCCCATATCCAGGTGCAGGATATCGAGTAGAATTAACTCGCAATAATTTGATTCAGCAGAGATATTTTCCAAGGTATATTCTTTCTTTGCAGCTTCATCCACTTATATTTTGAGTTGTCCATTGTGTTCATATTATTGTGGACCCCATAGCAATAATTCAATTCAATTCAATTGGAGTAGACCCCATCTTCCAAATTTTGCAAGTGGAGAGCTCAAATATTCTATTGAAGAAGCATAATTTCCATTCATATTCATAATAGAAGCAACTTATGAATCAGAGTTAATGCAGAAGGCGGATTAAGTAATTCAGAATAGTGAGTTTTGAGCAATGAAACAAAAAGATGTAGTAGTGATATGAGTGTATTGTTTGTTTTTTACTTTAGATATATGTTTCTTTGTAGTAGTGATATGAGTGTATTGTTTGTTTTTTACTTTAGATATATGTTTCTTATTAATATATATCTGACTTGATATATGAAGAAATGATGTGTGAAATATATAGTACATTGGCGTTAGACTCATAAGCTAAGTGATCTTTGAAAAGCTACGTATTTAATGTTATTTGGATGCTAGTAGTAAGTTTATGGTAGTAGATATAAGGAACATGATGTTATAATCTCGATTTTTCAAAGTCTTCATCCAGTAACATATTTTTATATATGTTTTCTTTTCTTTTTAAAATTTTATGATAATGATGTTATCATCTCGATTATTTTATTGGTATTGTTGCTTGAGTAACTCATTTTATCAATTTTTTTGTAAAAGGAACTAAATCACATTATTGGTTATTACCTCTGATAACATTTGAACTTGAGATATGGGAAAATGCATAAGTACCCCCCAGCCTATGCCCAAAATCCCTGAGACACACCTAACCTTTACTAAGGTCCTATTACCCCCCCCCCCCCCCAAACTTATTTTTTAATTAATTTTTTACCATTTTTCGACTTACGTGGCAATATAAACCAAATAGGTTGAAAGGTTTGTTCAACACGCGCCGGGCCCCACTTTTTCAACTTTCTAAAAAGTAGCTTTTACACTTCCCAAAATTTCAAAAAGCTATCCTATTATTTATAATCTACTTTGTTAATATATTTTTAGTTAGTTTATAGATTTTAATGTTTATATATTTTATTTCAAATTTGGGCATGTAAAATTTTGTAAATATTATATATATAATTTTATTTTATTTATAGATAAAAAAAATTATTTATAATCTACTTTGTTAATATATTTTTAGTTAGTTTATAGTTTTCAATGTTTATATAAATTTGGGCTTGTAAAATTTTGTAAATATTATATATATAATTTTATTTTATTTATAGATAAAAAAATATTACTTATAATCTACTTTGTGAATATATGTTTAGTTAGTTTATAGCTTTCAATGTTTATATATTTTATTTCAAATTTGGGCTTGTAAAATTTTGTAAATATTATATATATAATTTTATTTTATTTATAGATAAAAAATATTATAACTTTGTTAATATATTTTTAGTTAGTTTATATATTTTATTTCAAATTTGGGTTTGTAAAATTTTGTAAATATTATATATATATATATATATATTTTATTTATTTTTTTAAATTGCCATCATCAAGGTTTGTCACCCGATGTTAGGGTTCTGGCTAGACCCACGTCTTTCCCATTCATTCAATATAATTTTATTTTATTTATAGATTAAAAAATATTATAACTTTGTTAATATATTTTTAGTTAGTTTATAGTTTTCAATGTTTATATATTTTATTTCAAAAAAATATATTTTGTACTCATGTGAATTTTACCGTCTTTACGAAAATTTCTATTCATCTAACGTTTCTTAAGTTTAGCTTATCACACAGGTAGGTGAAAATATATTTGATCTCTTTTTCAAACACCGTTAAGTTGTAAAAAACCGAAAAAAACCAAAAAACCGAAAAAAAACCGAAAGAACCAACTAAAACCGAAACCGAAAAAACTGACTTTGCGTGGTTTGATTTGATATTTAGATTTAATAAACCGACATAATTGGTTTAGGTGTTTTTTAATGAAAAACCAAACCAAACCGACCTATGTACACCCCTACTTCTAAGTCATCAAGAATCGTGGTTGAGTTCAAAGGCTAGTTTTTTCTTGATTTTATTTTGTTAGCTTTTCGAAGAAAGGAGCAATTTAACTTATGATAATGGAGGTTTTTTTTTCAAACATGAAGAACAATAATAAAGAAGAAGACAATTGAGTTAATATTTATTTTTTCCAAGTTTATTTTAACACATGACCAATTTTTATTGGTCAATGTTGTCTAAAAGCTGCACCCACGCGCCTAACATAGGTGAAATCACGGACTCAGCCACGTAGGCCGAAAAGTGGTAAACAATTAACTAAAAAATAAGTTGGGGGGGTAATAGGACCTTAGTAAATGTTAGGTGTGTCTCAGGGATTTTGGGCATAGGTTGGGGGGGTACTTATGCATTTTCCCCCTGAGATATCATACCAACTTTATTGATATCCGTTAGAACTCACCTTTGGATCAAAATATTATTTCTCAATCGAAAATAGATTGAATTTATAATTAATCTAAATAGAACAACATAAAATAAAACTATACCTAACAAATTGTGGGCTTTGTTTATTTGGAATTGTAAGGTAATATCATAGGAATTTCTTTGTGGTGACAAATGATGAAATCTAGACTTCATCGCATTGAACATAAATAACTAGTCAAATGCAATAAAATGTAGGAAATATCTTGGAAACTCCAATAATGTAATATGCACACAATGGACCACTAAATCGAAAAGGATTTCATTTCAACAATTTTCGATTGGAATTAATGAATAGAATTACAAGGTAAAATCCAATTTCTTTTTGTTAGGTTCTTCTTTTAAAGTCATCCATAAATTAGGGCCCTCTAATTCACTTTTTTCTTTCTAATTTGTAGCTTCACGGACATGTACTTTTAGCTGTCCATTGTGCACTTATCAAAGTGGAGTTTCAGGGTATTTGAAGTACTTTCCTATTTCCTTCTCTTAAATTTGGATGAAAATACTAAACAAATTGATTCTTTTGTTTTCACTTTCCATCTGTTTAAAAAGTGGTGCTAGAATTTGTAAACTACTTTTTTCACCTCTTCTAAGGAGCTCTCACTCTTTTAACTCTCTTGGTGACTCGAACTCACAATTTTATGATTGAAAGCAAGGGCGGAGCTAGGTAGGGGGAGGAAGGCTCATCTGAAGCCCCTTTAGCGAAAAAGAACATTGTATGTGTAAGGTTAGAATTATTTTTTCATGTATATAGCGTAGATGTTGAATCCTCTTGGCTTCTTTGTATATCTAGTTCTATATATATTTGAATCCCTTAAAAGTCCCGATTCCGCAATATATTGAAAGTGAGAAATGCTTATCATCGGAACAACTTACTCTGATCTCTTCTTTAATAAATTACAGTTGTTGAATTAACATATTTTACGATTTGAATAAATACTTTTCCAAAAGAATGATTCAAGTAGGACCTAGTGTATTTAAAGTCCAGTCATCTGCTTAAAGAAAAGGGCCATTGACTAATTCAAGTAGAGCATTAATAATTCACCTAAACATTTCTCTTTCATTTTCTTTCTATTTCTTCATCTTCTTGTTACCACACAATTTGTGTTTTCGTTCTTCAGGTCAATATCCATGGCATCTTCTTCTTCTTTTTCTTCTGCGAGTAATTCACAATATTGTCCTCGATGGAAGTACAATGTCTTTCTAAGTTTTAGAGGAAAAGATACCCGGAGAAATTTTACGAGTCACTTGTACCAAGGTTTGAAAGATAGGGGAATATTCACTTTTCTAGATGATGAAAGGCTAGAGGATGGCGATTCCATCTCAGAAGAACTCGTGAAAGCGATAGAAGAGTCTCAAGTTGCCATAATCGTTTTCTCAAAGAATTATGCTACGTCAAGGTGGTGCCTAAATGAACTAGTGAAAATTATGGAATGCAAGGAGAAAGAAAATGGACAAACAGTCATACCGGTCTTTTGTTATGTGGATCCATCACATGTTCGAAATCAAAGTAAGAGCTTTGCAAAGCATTTGTCAAACACGAATCGAGGTATAAGTATGATGTTGAGGGGATGCATAAGGTGCAAGGATGGAGGAATGCCCTAACTGCTGCCGCAGATCTAAAAGGATATGATATTCGTGATGAGTGAGTTGGAAACAAATAATTGCTTTTGATGAAAAAAAATAACAATATGTTTCTATATATTACCCTGAACTATAATGTTTCCTTTTTAATACACTCTTGAACATTAAAAATATGAAAATACTTTCTAATACTTGACTTCCTCACATTGTCAAAAATCAATAGCTAATTTATGTAGGATTGAATCAGAGAAAATTCAACAGATCGTCGACCACATCTCTTCCAAATTTTGCAAGAGTGCTCGTTCTTTATCTTATTTGCAAGATATTGTGGGAATAAATGCTCATTTAGAGAAACTAAAATCCCTACTTCAAATAGAAGTCAATGATGTTCGGATTGTAGGAATCTGGGGAATAGGCGGAATCGGTAAAACAACAATAGCAAAAGCCATCTTTGATACTCTATCTCATCAATTTAAAGCTGCTTGTTTTCTTGCCAATGTTAAAGAAAATGCAGAAAAGAATCAACTGCATTCCTTACAAAATACCCTTCTCTCTGAATTGTTAGGAAAAAAGGATGATTACGTCTGTAATGAGTATAATGGGAAGTGCATGATTCAGAGCAGACTTTGTTCTATGAAGGTGCTAATTGTGCTTGATGACATAGATCATGATGATCATTTGGATTATTTAGCAGGTGATGTTGGTTGGTTTGGTAATGGCAGCAGAGATATTGTAACAACTAGAAATAGACAGTTGATAGAGAAGGATGATGCAATATACGAAGTGCCTACACTACTTGATCATGAAGCTATGCAATTGTTCAATCAACATGCTTTCAAAAAAGAAGTTCCCGATGAGTGTTTTAAGAAGTTTTCGTTGGAAGTAGTAAATCATGCTAAAGGCCTTCCTTTAGCCCTCAAGGTGTGGGGTTCTTTGCTGCATAAGAAAGGCCTAACTCAATGGAGAAGAACAATACACCAAATAAAGAAAAACTCTAATTCAAAAATTGTTGAAAAACTCAAAATTAGTTATGATGGGTTGGAGCCCGAAGAGCAAAAGATATTTTTAGATATTGCATGTTTCTTCCGTCGGCATGGAAGAAAAACAGTCATGCAAATTGTTGAGAGCTATGATTCTGGAGCTGAATACATAATGGATGTCCTAATTGAAAAATCTCTTGTATTCATCTCTGAATATGATAGAATTGAAATGCATGACTTGATAGAAGATATGGGTAAATACATAGTAAAAATGCAAAAAGATTCCGGAAAACCTAGCAGACTATGGAATGTTGAAGATTTCAAAGATATGATGGTGGGCAATATGGTAAGTAGGCTAAACAATGCAATACTATTCATATTCCAAAAACATATTTGGCCAATTCCAAATATTTGTTCCTCTAGCTTCATATAAAATAGCTTTTATTCCTATGTGGCTAATTCGTCAATTAGGCATTTCAAATTTACATTACCTAGTTTGTTTATCTCATGTTAATAAGAAATGAATTAGTCTAATAGCCACTTAATATATAAAATCTAATATCATTCTTTGAATTAACTTGAAATTTATATGATATTTTGTACTACTAATTTAATCAATAATTTTTTAAAAGCTAATATCACCCATTTATTTACCCTGAGTAATTTTTTATCAGTAAAAATTCCCAACTGAAGTTATGATTTGTTGACTAATAGGGGACCATGACAGTGGAAGCAATCTGGTTTACTTATTTTGAAAAACTACGTGTTAGCAAAGAGGCAATGAAAAATATGCAAAGGCTTAGGATATTATGCATACAAAGTTATTCATGGGCTTCCCAAAGTGATTCAGAAGAAAATCCCAATTGCTCTATTGAGTACCTGCCCAACAACTTGTGTTGGTTTGTGTGGCATAAATATCCTTGGAAGTTATTGCCAAAAAATTTTATTCCCAGAAGCCTTGTTCATCTTGATCTCCGGGGGAGTTCCTTGCATCATTTATGGAATGAAACAAAGGTACCGTTTTATTCGAGATATTTTCTATTTTGTCTTGTCCTAGAATTATGATTCTTGTTTTTAAATGAAATAAGTTATTAATTCCATAAACTCACATTAATGTATTTTATATTATTTTGGGTTGTTCTCATATAATTACTATAATAATAGCAGAGGTTTTTACCTTCGCAAATCACCCATTTTTTGGTAGTGAATATTTATTGAAGGAGTTTTTTCTAAACAACTATTTATTTTTTTTGGATAATAATAGATTTCGTACATTGCATCTGAAATTAACACTTTTTTTAAAGCAAATTTACCACTAGACAGTGTCTAATGGCCATTTATTAAACATAAAAAAAATATCAATAGGGATAAGTACAAGCAAGGGGGTGATAAGCCTTACCTTACTAATCCTAATAAAGTACCTAAAAACTGCTACCTAACAAGCATGAAGAAAATAAAAACTAGATAGATTTAAGTATTTTCTGATCACCACATAGTTTGTAATACACCCCATGATAATATTACAAATGAGGATGCTTAAATAATGTAAAAATATGTCAATCAAGAAGAAAGTTGAGTTATCAACCTCAAACTTTCTATTACAAAAGCATGAATTAAAAAAGATTGATTGCCCATCAAAAGTAACTTGAAGTAATTTTCTCTTGTCTTCTTCAAACATATCCAACAACACTTGATAATTCATACTTTCTTTATGGATTTATTGGATCATGTTGAACCTATTGATAATATCAAATGGTTCTGCTTTGCCTATCGCATCGGTAGGTGCCTTGGAACAAACTCCTCAGTCATTTTACCGTCCCAACTATGTTGCCTTCCATGTGTCTTCTTTTTGTTTGTGTTGCTTCCACTTCTTTGTTGCCTAGGTGATATATCCCCTTCCCTAGCCACTCTATCAAAGCATATGTTCAACATATTGTCTTCCTCATCTTCATCAAGAAAATCGTCGTCTAAATCAATTGTATTTGATACTAAAATCCTTGACTCATTCTTCTTTGCAATCACACATTTAGGCACAAATACGGGAGCTTCTGGACTTAATTTGCTATTCAAAGCAGGTGGTGAGACCTGTTTTTCTTAAATCAAATTGTTGTCATTCTCTAATAACCTTACTTGCTTTCCAGTAGTCTTCAATAAAGCATCAAAGTTATTCGAAACTAATAGGTCTCTTGAGGCATTACTAATATCCTGCCTCTTTTCACTGTCATGAAAATTTCCAGTCTCACCCTTTTCACTACATGGAAAAATATTTTGCCTAGTTGGGGAAAGGGTCCGACTACTATTTGAATTTTTGTGTGCAACTAGTGTCCAATTTTTGGTTGCATTCTCATTTTCAACTTGCAAAACATGCTGCCCAGAATTTTCAGCATCTTCAACATCAGATGTATCCATTAGTTTTTGTCCTGAATCCATTAATTTTTGCCCTGAACCAACTCATGGCGCATCAACCCCAACTTTTGGTGTTCCCCCTGCGTTTTTAGTTGCAGTAGTTGTTTGAACACCAACATTACTTGTATCAACATCCATTGAGTCTGCACGATTTGCTCGTGGCAGCAACCAATTGTCGATCTAAAGAAGTAGCTTTACTTTGATCGACATCTACAATTTTTCTTTTTTCATTTAGTATTTCTCTCGCATCACCTTGATACTTTTCACTATCAATAGTACCTTTTAAAACAACTTCAATGGTATCATCATTTTGTTTGTTATTTTGATTTCTTTTCGAGATCAAACGACAACTATCTTCACCATGACCTTGGTGCTTACAATAATTGCAATACAAAGGTAGATTATCATACACAATCTCTTGAAAACCCTCGATCAACTTACCAGATTTTCCATCCACAAACTGTAACCTTATACAATTTGAAAGCTTTTCCATTAGATCAAGTATAACCTTGACCCTAGCTGAGCTAGGTCTTGACTTGATTTGAGTGGCTTTATCTATAGCTATTGGTTTCTCGACGGCCGATGCTATAGACAACAAAGACTTCTTTGCAAATAAATTTGGAGATAAGTTTGGTAAAGAAATCCAAACCACAGCTAACGTCATTTCCTCCTTAGGATTATATCCAATAGACCATGGAAAAACTCTACATTGGTGCTCCTCTCCATTGTAGAGAAGATAATTAACTGAGCGAGATAAAGCTAGTACATAGTCTTCATATTGATCAAACCTCAACAGAATTTGTCTTGGAGCAAGTAAGCCAATTAAACAATTGCCCTTGGTACCAAGATGTTTCGGTAAAATTGACCTTAATACCTTCAAATCTGGCGCACCATGGGATAATTTAAGCACCACTGTTTGATGCAATTCCTCTTCGATCATTAAGTATTGCCTTTCCTCCATTGAAAACGTGATAGTAGGTTCTCCATGAATTATTTCGATTGATTTTACGATTGTTTTTGACTTAATTAGAGCAGATTATTTAGGATTTAGAGTATTGAAATTGAAAAGGGTGGCGTATGTGGTGGTTTGGGGTGGTGGGGCGGGCAGGACAACCTCGAAAGGAGGCTGACCAGTGGCCATAGCAGCCATGAGAGCTGCGCAGCTACTGCCTATGTAGGAGCCACCTGAAGAAACCCTATGTTGTTCTCTCTTTGGCAACAATTTTTTTATATCATTTCTAAATAAATTTAACATACTAAATACTCTTCTAAACTTGATACGTTTTATTAAATGCAGACCTAAACTCCATTACTTGGGCTAAAAAAACTTGTGTTACTAAAAAAAGCAAAAGGAGTTTTATATACATATTTTACCAAAACAAGTAGTCATAGCATCTAATTAAAAAAAGAAACAAAAAGAAATATGTTGTTGTAAATCTATTATTTTGGCACAACTTTTCTATTTGGCCATTGTTTTCTAGCCACGTTTTATGGCTATAAATTTGCACCCCCCCTCCCCCAAAAAAAAACAATTGAAATAAATACCCATTACAGCTAAAGAATAAGGGCCCGTTTGGCCATGCGATATGGTAACGTGTTATGGAATCATGATATGGTATCATGATATGAAATCATGAGATGAAATTGAAGTTTTGTTTGGACATGCGATATGAAATTTTTGTTTTGTATATTTTCTCATAAACATAAAAATCTCATAAGTTGTAAAACTATTAAAATAGCCCCAATTGTTTATTCAATCTTATCAAATAAACAAAAATTTATAAAATCGCATAATAAATTATTACAAAGCTATTTGTTCTCTACTTAAGTAATTGTTTCATCTAACTTTAATTTAATAAAAAAAAAATTGAACATAAATTGTAGTGTACTAGTCTTTAATATAATCCTCCCACATAGTATGGACAATTTTCTTACGTTGAACTTGTATTTCTCGATCATGTGACCAAGAAGACGAACCAACATTGTTACTTTGAGCCATTTGTTGGTCAATATCATCCACAACTATATTTTCATGCTTATAGACCATAAATATTTCATCAATACTTTGGTATTCTCGCAAATAATTATGTAACACTGCACAAACTATGACAATTTTCACTTGTGTATCAATATCATAATGGTTCATGCCTTGTTTCAGTATTCTAAATCTATTTTTCCAAGCTCCAAAAGTCTGTTCAATCACATTGCGTAGAGATGAATGCCTATAATTAATCAGTTCTTTGGGATTTTGAGACTCTCTTTCACTTCCTCGGTAATCTTGCAAATGATAGCGTAGTCCTTTGTATGGAGCTAAAATCCTTTTGTGTTTCGAAAACCAACGTCAACAACATAATATTTATCTACAACAAACATTTTATAAAGAATTACTAAAAGCATATGTGACGTAAATGAGACAGCTTTGTGTAAATAAATAATATATATTCTAAGGATGTAATTTAAAGTTACCATATGGCGGAAATGGAAATTGTGACGTTGGTTCAACAAGTGCATTTTCAAGTACTTTACTATCATGTGCAGCAACTTCCCAACCAGCAGCAACAAAGGTAAATCGCATATCAAAATACAAGCGCATAAGACATTTTATGATGTTTCTTCCTTTGCGATTACGATATGCTTGTTGCACCGCTTTAGGAACCTTCCCTTCTATATATGTTCCATCAATCGCACCAACACAATCCTATCAAATAAAAAATACATCAATATTAGTTTAGTGAACACAAAATAAATTGGAAGCATTATAGAATGCACTTCATAAAAATAATGTTTGTAAGAGTAATAAAAATAGTGCTTCCAAGACAATGCAAAGTCATAAAATAAATATTATCTCTTTAAACAAAATTGATAGGAAATATGTAACTAAATACTAATAACTTACACATAAAATATAAATGTGCACTTATTAAGGCCATAAAATAAATTTATTACTCAACTGTAACATCCGACAATTTAAAAATGAATATGAAGAAGCTTGAAATTTGGAAATAGTCATTTTTGGAAAAATTTAAAATCTGGAAAATTTGGCTAAGTGTGGAAATCAGTGAGTTTTTGGCCAACTTTGAGCAGTCATAACTCCTAGCTCAGGATGATTTAGGAGTAGTTCCAGTTATGGTTTCGAAGCTTGTGGAACGATCTTTCCAACGCCACTGAGTTTGCTCGATTCCGAGTTCGTATGAGCGAGTTATGATCTTTGAAAGTTGGGCAGTTGGCAGGGATTCCGTTCCGGAAATTTAAGGGCATTTTGGTCTTTTCACAAATAATTTCTTTTGAGCTTATATTGTTGTATTAGGCTGATATTTGGATCATTCTGTCCCATTTTGAAAGAGAAAGAGTTAGGGTTCAAGAGAAGAAGAAGAGAAGAAGGAGAAGAAGAAGAGAAGAAAGAGGAGATCAACAAGATTGGTCAAGATCATTGTGGATTTTCGTCGGGGGTGATCCCTATCAAGGTATGTGAGTCTTTAGTGTGGGTTTATCCTTTCCCCCCACATACCAAGCTCGTTTTTATGATTTGAGAAGAGATTGGATTTGTTGTTGAAGTTGTTGAAGTTGTTAGTTGTTGTTGATGTTGTTAGTTGTGTTGTTGAAGTTATTGTTGGTTGTGGGACAGGATTGGGCTGTGTATTTGAGTTGTGATCTATTGTATGTTGAGAGATTGATGATCCTTAGTGTTGGTTGGTTCATACCCCCACACACCAACTCGTTTTTAATTCCAAGAGAAGATTTATTGGTTGTTGAAGTTGTAGTGGTGTTGTGTTGAAGTTCTTGCTGATTTAGTACAGATTTCTGGCTGTGATTTTTGAGTTGAATCTATTGTATAATAAGGGTCTTTATGATTCTAAGTGTTGCTGCTGAAACCTTGAGGTTGAGAGGGTTTAGAATTGGAAAGAAACAAGGGGAAAAAGTCGGATTTTTGGGGAAAAAGGGGCTGGGCTGTTGCACCTCTCCTAGTGCCAAGGACACCAATCCTTCCCTTTCATTCACCATTTCTTTTTTTATACATGTTCCTAGGTATTATACCTATGTTTCCTAGTTGTTTCCAACACTCCAAGGTACTTCCAAAAGTCAAGTAAAACTACAAGTCAAGTGAAGTTAGTTTCCAAGTCAAGTGAAGTTAGTTTCCAATTCAAGTGAAGTTAGTTTCCAAGTCAAGTGAAGTCAAGCTTAGAAGTAAGTAAGTCAAAGCAAGTCTTTAAGGTTTTCCAAGAGTCTTCATTGAGCGTTTTAACTTCATTCTAAGGCTCAAGTTCCAAGTTAAGTATTGAGTTTCAAGTCAAGTCAAAAGTTAAGAGTTTCATGTTAAGTTAAGAGTTTCACATCAAGCCAAGAGTTCAAGTAAAGTAAAGAGTTTAAAGTTGAGTTCTTTTCTCAAAGTTATTAGGGAACTATGTATTCCCAAAGAAGTTTTAAAGAAATGTTTTTACATTTAAACAAGGTTGGAAACTGAGATTTCCAAAAAGCCTTCGGGCTAGTTTTTGAGTAATTATCTCATATCAGCAGGAAGAAATATGTTTTAAAAACATAAGAGCCAGTACATTTTTGGGAGTAGTATCGAGCACCGAATTGGGGGAGCGTTCAAAGAACCCACAGCCCCCATAGAACCATGTTAGCCACCATGGGTAGAAAAGGATCATACTTTTTAGATGAATCCTTTTCAGATTAGACTAGTGGATCCATTAGGCAGTTCAGGTCTTATACCTTTGGCCGGGTATAAGATGCTCTGGCAGCGTGAGGTCGATCGCTGTATCATCACTATAGCTCTTATGTGATGGTTGTCGGTTAGAGAAACTCCCACAGCAGTTATTGTATTTTTCATACACAGAGATTATTGTATTTTTTATATACATCAGTTCATTGTATTTTTATACACATTTCAGGCTTATTGTATCCTTGTATACACACAGAGTTCATAGCATGTTTTAAGCAATCTTTCTTTATATCGCACTTGTTTTAAATTGCCTTATATTGAAAGAAGTCAGTCAGGTTGAGTTAAGTTGAGCCAGGTAAGCTATTCAGTTTCTTCCAGTTTTCCTTCTAGCCTTTGTTGCTTAGTTTTCCAGCTTGCATACTCGTACATTCCATGTACTGATGCCAGTTGGCCTGCATCGTTTGATGATGCAGATTCAGGTACCCCGGATCAGCATCCTGCACGTCGTTGATCCAGCTGAGCACTCCAGAGTCAGTGGTGAGCCTCCTTGCATTCCGGAGGACTCAATTATTTTGTGTTCTTAGTTTTTGTTTTATTAGGATGTTGCGGGGTCTGTCCCAACATCCATCTCAGTATTTTAGAGGCTTCATAGACAGACAGTCAGTCAGTTAGTTTTGAGTCTCTCATCTATATATATGTAAATATTCTATTTTGAGATTCGAGTTGCCTTTATGGCCATATTTTATAAGTTAAGTTGTTTTGTAATATTGCATTGCATTGAGTTATTCTGTTGAGGTTTCCGCTGAGTTAAGAAAGCCAGGCCAAGGGTTCGCTTGGGGCTAGAAATGGTCTCCGGGTGCCGGTCCCGCCCAGGGTGTAGGCTCGGGGCGTGACAAACTTGGTATCAGAGCACAGAGTTCAGGAGTCCTAGGGAGTCTATGAAGCCGTGTCTGTAGAGTCCTAGTTATCGGTGTGAAGCGCGCCACATCTATAATTGGGAGGCTGCAACATTTAGGAAGATTTCTCATTTCTTTCACACTCATTTCATGCGTTAGAGTTGATCTCTAAAAAGTTTCTTTCTAATCCATGCTTGCGCGTGTTTCAGATAGTCATGCCTCCACGAAGAGTTGGTAGAGGGCGTCTTCCTAGACGTTATGTTGATGAGCAAGAGTTACCCTATGCACCGGGAGTGCAAGATCAAGGGGAAGTTTCTAATGCCGAGTTCAGAGAGGCAATTAGAATGTTGAGTCAAGCTGTAGCAAATCAGATTGGTCAGCAAAGAGGAGCTCGACATGAAGGAGCTGACACTTCAAGGATTCGTGAGTTCTTGGGGATGAATCCTCCGAGTTTCATGGGTTTGAGCACTACTGAGGATCCAGAGGATTTCATTGAGGAGTTGAAGAAGATTTTTGATGTGATGCATGTGGCAGATATTGAGCGGGTTGAACTAGCTGCTTATCAATTGAAGGATGTTGCTAGAACTTGGTTCGACCAGTGGAAAGGGGGCAGAGCTGAGAATGCACCACCTACAAGTTGGGCCGATTTTGAGGAAGCTTTCTTGGGGCATTTCTTTCCTCGAGAATTGAGAGAGGCCAAGGTACGTGAGTTCCTCACACTTAAGCAGGAGTCCTTGAGTGTTCATGAGTACAGTTTGAAGTTCACACAATTATCCCGCTATGCTCCGGAGATGGTTGCGGACATGAGGAATAGAATGAGCTTGTTTGTTGCTGGGTTGTCTCGGTTGTCGAGCAAGGAAGGTAGGGCTGCAATGCTTATCGGGGACATGGACATATCAAGGTTGATGGTTTATGTGCAGCAGGTTGAGGAAGAGAAGCTGAGGGACAGAGAAGAGTTCAGAAATAAGAGAGCTAAGATCGGGAACGAGTCCGGGCAGCAGAGAGGTAATTCAAACCGTTCCTCCTTTCAGCAAAGGCAAAAGGGACCTGCTCCATCATTTGCTAGAGCACCTGCACCCAGATACAGAGGTGAATTTAATGTTCAGAATTCGAAGGACTTCAGGGCTAGACCAGCACAATCTTCGGGTAGTGTGGCGCAAGGGAGTAGTAAGCCTCCTGTTTGCGCCAAATGTGGTAGGAACCACTCAGGTATTTGTCGAGATGGCTCCATTGGTTGTTTCAGGTGTGGTCAGAATGGACATTTCATGCGAGAGTGTCCAAAGAATAGGCAGGGTAATGGAAGCAATAAAGCACAGTCTTCTTCAGTTGTTCCACCAGACAGGACGGCACCTAGAGGAGCTACTTCTAGTGTAGGTGGAGGAGCAAACCGCCTTTATGCTATCACCAGTCGCCATGAGCAAGAGAATTCTCCGAATGTTGTCACTGGTATGATCAAAGTCTTTGCTTTTGATGTGTATGCTTTGCTAGACCCAGGAGCGAGTTTATCTTTTGTAACTCCTTATGTTGCAAATCAGTTTGAGGTTCTTCCTGAAAGACTTTGTGAACCCTTTTGTGTTTCTACACCTATTGGGGAGTCTATTCTAGCGGAAAGAGTTTATCGTGATTGTCCTGTTTCTATCAATCACAAGAGCACCATGGTTGATTTGGTTGAGTTAGACATGGTAGATTTTGATGTCATTCTAGGTATGGATTGGCTTCATGCTTGTTATGCATCGATAGATTGTAGAACTCGAGCAGTCAAGTTTCAGTTTCCGAATGAGCCAGTCATAGAGTGGAGTAGCAGTTCAGCAGTGCCTAAGGGTCGTTTTATTTCGTACCTTAAGGCAAGAAAGTTAGTTTCGAAGGGTTGTATCTATCACTTAGTCCGAGTTCATGATTCTAGTGTTGAGATACCTCATTTCCAGTCAGTTCCTATAGTAAGAGAGTTTCCAGAAGTGTTTCCTGATGATCTACCCGGAATTCCTCCTGAGAGAGAGATAGATTTCGGCATAGATCTCATTCCAGATACTCGTCCTATCTCTATTCCGCCATATAGAATGGCACCAGCAGAGTTGAAAGAGCAGTTGAAAGATCTCCTAGAAAAGGGTTTCATTCGACCGAGTGTCTCACCTTGGGGTGCTCCGGTTTTGTTTGTGAAGAAGAAAGATGGTTCCCTTAGAATGTGTATAGATTACCGCCAGTTGAACAAGGTTACCATCAAGAACAAGTACCCTCTTCCGAGGATTGATGATCTTTTCGATCAGCTTCAGGGTGCCACTTGTTTTTCAAAGATTGACCTCCGATCCGGCTATCATCAGTTAAGGGTAAAGGAAAGTGATATCCCAAAGACAGCTTTCAGAACCAGGTATGGTCATTATGAGTTTTTGGTCATGTCCTTTGGTTTGACTAATGCGCCTGCAGCTTTCATGGATTTGATGAATAGAGTCTTCAAACCTTATTTAGATATGTTTGTTATTGTCTTTATTGATGATATACTAGTCTATTCAAGGAATGAAGAAGATCATGCTAGTCATCTCAGAACAGTTCTTCAGACTTTGAAAGACAAGGAGTTGTATGCTAAGTTCTCTAAGTGTGAGTTTTGGCTTAAGTCTGTGGCATTCCTAGGCCACATTGTGTCCGGTGATGGAATTAAAGTTGATACTCGGAAAATTGAGGCAGTGCAGAATTGGCCTAGACCCACATCTCCAACTGAAATTAGGAGTTTCTTGGGATTAGCTGGCTATTATAGAAGGTTTGTTGAAGGGTTCTCGACTATTGCATCTCCTTTGACAAAGTTGACTCAGAAGACAGTGAAATTTCAATGGTCTGAAGCTTGTGAGAAAAGCTTTCAAGAATTGAAAAAGAGATTGACTACAGCTCCAGTTTTGACGCTACCAGAAGGTACTCAAGGTTTTGTGGTGTATTGTGATGCATCTAGAGTTGGTTTGGGTTGTGTCTTAATGCAGAATGGCAAGGTTATAGCTTATGCCTCCAGACAGTTAAAGGTTCATGAGAAGAACTACCCAACCCATGACTTAGAGCTAGCTGCTGTAGTATTTGCTTTGAAGATATGGCGTCATTACTTGTATGGTGTGCATGTCGACATATTCACTGATCACAAGAGCCTTCAATATGTGCTTACTCAGAAAGAGCTTAATCTCAGACAGAGGAGGTGGTTAGAGTTACTCAAGGATTATGACCTGAGTATTCTTTACCACCCAGGTAAGGCTAATGTTGTTGCTGATTCTTTGAGCAGGTTGTCTATGGGTAGCACCGCCCATATTGAAGAAGGAAGGAAAGAGTTAGCAAAAGATGTGCACAGACTGGCATGCCTGGGAGTCAGATTTACAGATTCCATAGAAGGAGGAATAGCGGTGACGAGCAGGGCCGAGTCATCATTAATGTCAGAAGTGAAAGAGAAGCAAGATCAAGATCCCATTTTGCTCGAGTTGAAGGAAAATGTTCAAAAGCAAAGAGTATTAGCTTTTGAACAAGGGGGAGATGGTGTTTTGAGATTTCAAGGTAGATTGTGCGTACCTATGGTAGATGGACTCCAAGAGAAGATTATGGATGAAGCTCACAGCTCCAGATATTCTATTCATCCGGGTTCCACCAAGATGTATCGTGATTTGCGTGAAGTTTATTGGTGGAATGGCATGAAGAAGGGCATTGCTGAGTTTGTTGCTAAGTGTCCAAATTGCCAACAAGTGAAAGTTGAACACCAAAGGCCCGGTGGTTTGGCTCAGAGGATAGAACTTCCAGAGTGGAAGTGGGAGATGATCAATATGGATTTCATCACAGGGTTGCCAAGGTCTCGCAGACAACATGATTCTATTTGGGTGATTGTCGACAGAATGACAAAGTCAGCTCATTTTCTACCGGTAAAGACTACCAATACAGCAGAAGATTATGCCAAGTTGTATGTTCAAGAGATAGTGAGACTTCATGGAGTCCCAATCTCCATTATTTCAGATAGAGGTGCACAGTTTACTGCACAGTTCTGGAAATCTTTTCAGAAGGGCTTGGGTTCAAAGGTGAACTTAAGTACTGCCTTTCACCCTCAGACGGATGGGCAAGCAGAGCGCACTATTCAGACCTTAGAGGATATGTTGAGGGCTTGTGTGATCGATTTCAAAGGGAGTTGGGATGATCACCTACCTCTCATTGAGTTTGCCTACAACAACAGTTATCACTCTAGCATCCAGATGGCTCCATATGAAGCTCTTTATGGGAGAAGATGTAGATCTCCTATTGGATGGTTTGAAGTTGGTGAAGCACAGTTGATAGGACCAGATTTAGTTCACCAAGCTATGGAGAAGGTGAAAGTGATTCAAGAGAGGTTGAAAACGGCACAGAGTCGTCAGAAATCCTACACCGATGTTAGGAGAAGGGCGTTAGAATTTGAAATAGACGATTGGGTATATTTGAAGGTTTCACCCATGAAAGGCGTTATGAGGTTTGGTAAGAAGGGGAAACTTAGTCCCCGGTATATTGGACCTTACCGCATAGCCAAGAGGATTGGCAATGTTGCTTATGAGTTGGAGTTACCACAGGAACTAGCAGCGGTTCATCCGGTATTTCACATCTCCATGTTGAAGAAGTGCATAGGCGATCCTTCATTGATCCTACCGACTGAAAGTATCAAGATCAAGGATAACTTATCTTATGAGGAGATTCCTGTTCAAATTTTGGATCGTCAAGTTCGTAGGTTGAGAACGAAAGATGTAGCCTCAGTTAAGGTCCTATGGAGGAACCAATTTGTTGAGGAAGCAACTTGGGAAGCCGAAGAAGACATGAAGAAGAGATATTCATATCTCTTTGAATCCGCAGATTAAGGTATTAATTTCCTTCTTAGTGCTCTATAAATTATAATGAGCATGTCGTTATTGTTGTTGTGTTTGCATGGTTGTTTGTTGGGTGTTGAGTTGATGTTACACCCTTAGCTTTGTAAGAGTTACCTCATTCGAGGACGAATGTTCCCAAGGGGGAGATATTGTAACATCCGACAATTTAAAAATGAATATGAAGAAGCTTGAAATTTGGAAATAGTCATTTTTGGAAAAATTTAAAATCTGGAAAATTTGGCTAAGTGTGGAAATCAGTGAGTTTTTGGCCAACTTTGAGCAGTCATAACTCCTAGCTCAGGATGATTTAGGAGTAGTTCCAGTTATGGTTTCGAAGCTTGTGGAACGATCTTTCCAACGCCACTGAGTTTGCTCGATTCCGAGTTCGTATGAGCGAGTTATGATCTTTGAAAGTTGGGCAGTTGGCAGGGATTCCGTTCCGGAAATTTAAGGGCATTTTGGTCTTTTCACAAATAATTTCTTTTGAGCTTATATTGTTGTATTAGGCTGATATTTGGATCATTCTGTCCCATTTTGAAAGAGAAAGAGTTAGGGTTCAAGAGAAGAAGAAGAGAAGAAGGAGAAGAAGAAGAGAAGAAAGAGGAGATCAACAAGATTGGTCAAGATCATTGTGGATTTTCGTCGGGGGTGATCCCTATCAAGGTATGTGAGTCTTTAGTGTGGGTTTATCCTTTCCCCCCACATACCAAGCTCGTTTTTATGATTTGAGAAGAGATTGGATTTGTTGTTGAAGTTGTTGAAGTTGTTAGTTGTTGTTGATGTTGTTAGTTGTGTTGTTGAAGTTATTGTTGGTTGTGGGACAGGATTGGGCTGTGTATTTGAGTTGTGATCTATTGTATGTTGAGAGATTGATGATCCTTAGTGTTGGTTGGTTCATACCCCCACACACCAACTCGTTTTTAATTCCAAGAGAAGATTTATTGGTTGTTGAAGTTGTAGTGGTGTTGTGTTGAAGTTCTTGCTGATTTAGTACAGATTTCTGGCTGTGATTTTTGAGTTGAATCTATTGTATAATAAGGGTCTTTATGGTTCTAAGTGTTGCTGCTGAAACCTTGAGGTTGAGAGGGTTTAGAATTGGAAAGAAACAAGGGGAAAAAGTCGGATTTTTGGGGAAAAAGGGGCTGGGCTGTTGCACCTCTCCTAGTGCCAAGGACACCAATCCTTCCCTTTCATTCACCATTTCTTTTTTTATACATGTTCCTAGGTATTATACCTATGTTTCCTAGTTGTTTCCAACACTCCAAGGTACTTCCAAAAGTCAAGTAAAACTACAAGTCAAGTGAAGTTAGTTTCCAAGTCAAGTGAAGTTAGTTTCCAATTCAAGTGAAGTTAGTTTCCAAGTCAAGTGAAGTCAAGCTTAGAAGTAAGTAAGTCAAAACAAGTCTTTAAGGTTTTCCAAGAGTCTTCATTGAGCGTTTTAACTTCATTCTAAGGCTCAAGTTCCAAGTTAAGTATTGAGTTTCAAGTCAAGTCAAAAGTTAAGAGTTTCATGTTAAGTTAAGAGTTTCACATCAAGCCAAGAGTTCAAGTAGAGTAAAGAGTTTAAAGTTGAGTTCTTTTCTCAAAGTTATTAGGGAACTATGTATTCCCAAAGAAGTTTTAAAGAAATGTTTTTACATTTAAACAAGGTTGGAAACTGAGATTTCCAAAAGAGCCTTCGGGCTAGTTTTTGAGTAATTATCTCATATCAGCAGGAAGAAATATGTTTTAAAAACATAAGAGCCAGTACATTTTTGGGAGTAGTATCGAGCACCGAATTGGGGGAGCGTTCAAAGAACCCACAGCCCCCATAGAACCATGTTAGCCACCATGGGTAGAAAAGGATCATACTTTTTAGATGAATCCTTTTCAGATTAGACTAGTGGATCCATTAGGCAGTTCAGGTCTTATACCTTTGGCCGGGTATAAGATGCTCTGGCAGCGTGAGGTCGATCGCTGTATCATCACTATAGCTCTTATGTGATGGTTGTCGGTTAGAGAAACTCCCACAGCAGTTATTGTATTTTTCATACACAGAGATTATTGTATTTTTTATATACATCAGTTCATTGTATTTTTATACACATTTCAGGCTTATTGTATCCTTGTATACACACAGAGTTCATAGCATGTTTTAAGCAATCTTTCTTTATATCACACTTGTTTTAAATTGCCTTATATTGAAAGAAGTCAGTCAGGTTGAGTTAAGTTGAGCCAGGTAAGCTATTCAGTTTCTTCCAGTTTTCCTTCTAGCCTTTGTTGCTTAGTTTTCCAGCTTGCATACTCGTACATTCCATGTACTGATGCCAGTTGGCCTGCATCGTTTGATGATGCAGATTCAGGTACCCCGGATCAGCATCCTGCACGTCGTTGATCCAGCTGAGCACTCCAGAGTCAGTGGTGAGCCTCCTTGCATTCCGGAGGACTCAATTATTTTGTGTTCTTAGTTTTTGTTTTATTAGGATGTTGCGGGGTCTGTCCCAACATCCATCTCAGTATTTTAGAGGCTTCATAGACAGACAGTCAGTCAGTTAGTTTTGAGTCTCTCATCTATATATATGTAAATATTCTATTTTGAGATTCGAGTTGCCTTTATGGCCATATTTTATAAGTTAAGTTGTTTTGTAATATTGCATTGCATTGAGTTATTCTGTTGAGGTTTCCGCTGAGTTAAGAAAGCCAGGCCAAGGGTTCGCTTGGGGCTAGAAATGGTCTCCGGGTGCCGGTCCCGCCCAGGGTGTAGGCTCGGGGCGTGACATCAACAATCGGTTGATGTGAGTTAAAGTGACTATATGTTGGTGAGAATAATAAATTTTATGTCGGTGAGAATAATAAATTTTAAAAAGTAATGATGTGATTATAAATTTTATTTACATATGAAATAAATGGTTAGTAGATATAAATGTGGAGTTGTTTTAACAAAATATAAACTCGTGGATCAATTTTGTATTAAAATATCTGATATGGAATTCCTATATAATTTCATATCATTGTTTTTGGAGAATATGAAATCACATCTCATGATATAGAATCATGAGATGAAATCAGCGTAAAATCGCATGTCCAAACGCTAATTACATCTCACGATACCATATTGTGATATGATATCGCATGGTCAAACGCCTACTAAATAAAAATATCCCACTTGGAAGCTACACTCGCGCCTAAAAAGGTGTATTCACACTCTTTTCCTCATCAATTAATGTCTGGGTGGTCAAGAAGAATTGTCCACCAAATAAAACATGCTAAGGTTAAGGTCTTCTTTTTAGATATTTTACCTTTTATTTATAGTAACATGATTTTGACTAGTTTCTGAGCATGTAATATCCATATACTGTAAAACAAACAATTTCTAATTTCACACATTGAGTCATAATAAAAAAAAATGGAAAAGGGTCAAAAATACCCTTAAACTATTTGTAAAGGTTTAGATATATCCTTCATTCATCTATTGGATTAAAAATACCCCTTAGTCGACCTTTTTGACTCATTTTTACCCTTAAATCCCTTAAAACTAACAGCCCTTTTCCTTTTTTTATTTTATTTTATTATTATCGTCATTATTATTATTACATGATATATTTTTATTGGATAAAGTTAAATTCCCAATTCATCATACTTTTTTCAACCCTCCGTGACTCGATGCAAAGAAAAAATTAATTAATATTTTTTTCAGAAAAATAAAATTTCTAATTAGCATTATAAAATTTATCCTAAATCTCTATCACCACCCGAACTCCATCTTCTAATCCAGACAAAAATATTCACCATAAATTCATTCCATCAGAAAATTTTGATCCCATTTCAGCCGAGTTTCTCATGTTTGCTATTTTTCATGTTTCACTTCCGCTAAATGATTGCTATTTTTTCAATTGGATCAATCATCAGAAAATAGCATAATATTTGCTATTTTTCATTCTATATGACTTTTTCCATTAATATGTATTTTCATTGTCATGTATCAGCTTCAAATTTTATTTAAATATTATAATAAAAGAATGGGTAGGTGTCCAAATAAGCAGATATGGCAGAAACCTTGTGTTAAACCTTTTCAAATAGTCCAAGGGTATTTTTGACTATTTTTAATAAGAAAAAATGTCATTTACTACTTTACTCATTTTTCATCATTTATTCTGTGTTTTGAATAGCTGCAATTGCCGTCTCTACGGAGGCTGGATCTAAGTCACTCCAAAAGCCTGGAGAGAACACCAGATTTCGAGGGGATGTCAAATTTAGAGTATTTGAATCTAGAGGGCTGTAGGAGTCTTGAAGAAGTTCACCATTCCCTGAAGTATTGCGGAAAACTCATCCAGTTAAATTTGTATGAGTGTAGAAGACTTAAGATGTTTCCATCTGTTAATGTGGAATCTCTTGAATCTCTGGATCTACACAACTGCTTTAGTTTAGAGAAATTTCCAGAAATCCTCGGAATAATGAAGCCATTATCTATCATTCATCTCGAACCTCCTCTTACAGAGCTAGATTTGAGTTTTTTGAAAAAACCTTGTACCTCTTCCAAGCAGCATTGGCATGCTTAAAAGCTTGGTGAAGCTAACGCAATCGGGTTGCTTTAAGTTTGAAAGCCTTTCAAAAGGGATAAGATATTTAGAAAATTTGGAGGAGCTTGATGCCAGCAGCTATACTCTAATCTCACAACCTCCATCTTCCATTATCCGGCTGAACAAGCTTAAATCATTGAGTTTTGCAAAACAAAAAACAGGAAGAGGTCTCGTAGATGGGGTGTTCTTTGTTTTCCTTCACTTGAATGAATTGTTACATCTGGAAAGCATTTTTAATTTGAAATATTCAAATCGCAAGAGAAATCATTTTGAGGATTTACCTCGAACCATAGCCCAAGTTGGTTCTCTTCAAGACTTGAACTTATCAGTGTGCAGGAGGTTTAACGAATTTCTAAACCTTAACATGGCTGAAGGGTTCTGCTCATTGAAAAATCTGAATCTCAATTACTGCAATTTGGAAGTGTTGAATCTCAGTGGAAATAATTTTGAGCATTTGCCTCAAAGCATAGCCCAGCTTGGTGCTCTTCGATCCTTGAACTTAGCAGATTGCAAGAGTCTTACACAGCTGCCAGAATTTCCACAGCAATTATATACAATAAATGCAGATTGGAGCAATGATTCAATCTGTAATTCGTTGTTTCAGAATATCTCATCATTGCAGCATGACATCTCTGCTTCAGATTCCTTGTCAGTAAGAGTGTTATGGAGTCTGCCGCAGAAAATCCCAAGTTGGTTTCACCATCAGGGAATGGGTTCATGTGTATCAGTCAATTTGCCTGAGAATTGGTATGTATCAGATAAGTTCTTGGGATTTGCTGTATGTTACTTGGGCAATTTATTTGACATCACAGCTCATTTGATTCCCTTATGTGATGATGGGATGTCGTCAATGACCCAGGAATTTGCCTTATCCAACCATTCAGAATATATTGGTAAATATGGTATGCATTTTTTGTTGGTAACTCTTGGTGGCTTATGGGATGCAAATGGTAAAACACCAAATGACTATGGGTGCATTCAGTTTTATTCAGAAATAAATTATTTTGGAGCAAAAAGTGAATTTGGAGTTCGTTTGTTGTATAAAGATGACGCTGAGCTTTACACTGGAATAAGGAAGAGCAGATATGAGGAGGTCACTGGTCAGTTGCTCCTCTTCTAAGAATCAAAATTCACAAGTAGATTAAATACCTCATGAATTTGTTGGTAATGAAGCGTAGTCTCCGTTGATATCTACTGTAATTAAAATGTTACGTTCTTTTTATATTTTAATAAGTGCAGGAAACACATTTAATCAATCATCTCTGAAAATAATGTAATCTAAGCAAAGAAACACTGCTAGACCATTGGACATAAATCCTCCCTATTAATATCCTCATTTCTTGTTGAATGTATTGCCAGTGTCGAGAAAGAAACGATATTTCACATCCGATTTCAGAAGACGTTCCAACGCTGTTCACGTAGTCCATTGTCACGACTTCAACATGTGGTTTTATGTTATGCTTTGCCGCAAAATCCAACATTTCTTGAGTCTCTTTCATACCTCCTATGCAACTTCCAGCCACTAGCTTCCTTCCTGTTTTCCACATTATATATACAAACTTTAGTCTTAAAAAAAGATACCGTCTGATGCACTAAGCTTTAGTCCGAACTTTTTTATTTGAAAACGTGCATAAAGAAAACTATATATGCATAAATAGAGGAAACACGGGCAACTCCACTGGGTTTTCTGGTGCACCAACCATAACAAGCTTAGCATGAGATTTCAATAACATAAGCAATGGAAGAATAGGGTGCACAGCAGAAACAATGTCGATGATCATGATCCCATCCAATGTGTTCATTGCAGCCTGTTTGTATATAAATAAAACGAATAAACAAAAGGTTAGCCCTCATTCTCGTGTTTAAATTGTTAAAACTAGCATAAAAACTTAAGTTTTTAGATGAGATTGTCACACACTTCAACATGGAACCAGAGCAGGCAGAGGTTGTGCGTTCAAAGGACTATAAGTAGTAATTCCAGCACATAACATGGCAGCACCGTCCATGGACAAGTTTTCAGGCCGACATACTACAAAATGCTCATCGGATACGATCATGTCGGAGTAACCTCCAAACTTGAGGGTTCCCGTCTGAGATATAGCCGTTGTAAGTAGGAATCTGACGAGGGCAGTAATTCTCAAGATCAACGCTACAATTCTCACATTTGCGACATGATCCTACCATACTTCCAACACCTACTTTGTCTCCAACCTTAATATCTCCACCTTGCTACCAACCTTATGCCTCCAATTATATTTACAATTAGTTACACTCATGAGTAGATAGAATCGACACAAATTCGCTAATTTTTTACGGATTTGGCTCCTTTCCATTTCTCTTCTCTCCATTTTTTCCAAGTTCTAGTTTGAATTGGAGACACATGTCATAGTTTAGAATTAATGGTTGAGTGGCCTTGCTGCCACGATCCACTTTGTCGCTCCGATTCGTCCCCCCCCCCCCCCCCCCCACCTTCCCCCTCCCCCAACCTCAAATCCAATCATATCTAACTTTTCAAAAGGGAGGTTTATGTATTGCTTGCATCCTTGGAAGGTTGAGATCTAATTGATTAAAGTAAAATCCTAACCATAATTATTTACTTCCATATATTTGCTTCTTAAATATATTTGCAATCCATTATATTTCCCCTAAATACATTAAAAACTTTTTTTTACTGCCATACATATTTAAAACTTTTACTAAATATTTTTGCTTTTTGAAAAAAAATATAATAAAGTTAAATGTTTTTATTATTCTAATAGAGTATTAAGTGAAAGAATCTATCCTTGTAGCTATACATATATATTTATCATTCGCCCTCAAGCGATGCTGGGTCTCGACAAATGTTGAGCTTGTCACGCAAGAATGAAAATTGAGCATAGGGAAGAGACTTTGTCAGTAAATCTGCAAGTTGATCCGCACTTGGCACATAGCGAACCTGTAGAACACCAGAAGCAACCTTCTCACGAACAAAGTGAATGTCAATCTCAATGTGCTTAGTGCGAGCATGATGAACAGGATTATGAGCTAAGTATATACTACTGATGTTATCACAGTAGATTATTGAAGGAGAGGATAGCTGAATATGTAGATCACCAAGAAGAGCGAGCAACCAAGATAGCTCAGCAGTACCATGGGCAACAGAACGATATTCTGCCTCAGCACTCGAGCGCGATACAACACTTTGCTTCTTAGAAGACCAAGAAATAAGATTATCACCAAGAAAGATGCAATACGCTGAGGTAGACCTGCGGGTGGTAGGACAACCTGCCCAATCTGCATCAGTATAACATGTTAATGAACCAATTGAGCCGCCTGGAATGAATAGACCCTGATTTATGGAACCACGCAAGTAGCGTAGAATACATTTCACTGCAGTAAAATGAATGTCCAAGGGAGAATGCATGAACTGAGCAACCTGACTAACAGAGAAGGCAATGTCGGGTCGAGTAAAAGTTAAGTATTGAAGTCCACCAACAAGGCTACGATATAAAGACGGATCAGAAAATGGAGGAGATGTATCAGAATCAATAAGAGATTTCGGAGAAAGAGGAGTATTAACTGGTTTAGATGAGAAAAGACCTGCCCGATTAAGAAGATCATGAATGTATTTGGATTGGTTAAGAAAATAACCACCCTTACATGTGGAGACAGAGATTCCAAGAAAAAAATTGACCAGACCGAGATCTCTCATGGAGAATTCGGACATAAGAGTCTTAATTGTAGACCTCAGTAAAGAACTCGAAGACGAAGTGATAAGAATATCATCCACATATAGAAGAAGAATGATTATGTCCGAAGCAGATTTGTAAATAAAGAGAGAATTATCAGAAAAACTATTTTTAAAACCATGTTTGACAAGAAAAGAGGTGAACCGATGAAACCATGCTCGTGGAGCTTGTTTTAAGCCATAAAGGGCTTTGTTCAATTGGCAAACATGATGTGGAAATTGCGGATGAACAAAACCAGTAGGCTGCTTCATATATACCAATTCATTAAGAGTGCCATGTAAAAAGGCATTCTTAACGTCTAATTGATGAATTTCCCAACCTTTGGACGCCGCTAAAGCAAAAACAGTTCGAATGGTGACTGGTTTCACCACAGGACTAAACGTTTGATCGTAGTCTAATCCATGTTTTTTATTATAACCTTGAGCAACCAGACAAGCTTTATAGTGGTCAAGCGAGCCATCAGATTTTTGTTTCACTTTATAAACCCATCGGCAACCAATGACATTTGCATTAGTAGAGGGCAACACTAAGTCCCAGGTGTTGTTGGCGATGAGGGAATTGTATTCATCTGCCATTGCCCTTTTCCAGTTTGGATATTTATTGGCCTCAGAAAATGAATTGGGTTCAGGAGGAAGAGAAGGTTGAGAAGAAATATAAGATATTTGAGAAAATAATGAAGGAAGAATTTTGGGTTTGAGCTTTCCAGATTGTGCTCGGGTGATCATCGGATGTACTTTAGAATCAAGAGATGAAACATTTTGCGTTTGAGATACAGAGGGATCTGTCCGTGGATAGAGTCCTTGTAAATTAGGAGAAGTAGTTACTGGAGTTGGAGAAGATTGAGTCCTAGATTGAGAAGGACTAAAAGCTGGCAGCGGTGAAGATGTTACATTAGGATAAGTACTAGATGGACGTATTGGAGTAGGTGAAAAAGACGAGGGATATGTCGGCAGGGGACTAAAGTGTTCCAGATTAGGAGAAGTATGCAAATTGAAAACTTTATTTGGAGATAAAGTCGGAGAAATATTTGGAGACGTGAGAGAAGGAAATAATAGTGATGATGGACTTCTAAAGGAAGATAAGGAAGTGTTTGGAGATATACACTGAGAAATTAAGGAAGGATATGGAAAAGAGTCCTCTTTAAAAATAACATGACGGGAAATAAAAACTTTATTTTCTAAAGGATCAAAGCACCTAAAACCTTTATAATTTGAAGGATAACCAAGAAAAATACAATGTTTAGATCGAGGACTCAACTTATGTGGTACATAATCACGAAGATTAGGAAAACAAGAACAACCAAATACACGTAAATGATGATACGACGGTTGTTTACCAAAAAGAAGTTCATAGGGAGTTTTAAACTTGAGCTTGGAAGAAGGTAGAATATTTAAGAGATGGACAGCAGTATTAAGGGCTTCAACCCAAAATTGAGATGGAAGAAAAGATTGAAAAAGTAAAGACCGAAGCATATTTAGTATAGTGCGATGCATTCGTTCGGCTTTACCATTTTGCTGGTGAGTATGTGGACATGAAATGCGAAGACAAACACCATTTGAATTTAAAAACTCACGAAAAGAAGCAAGTTTGACGTATTCGGCAGCTCCATCACACTGTAGTGATTTAATTTTGACCGAAAATTGAGTTAAAACATAAGAGTAAAAGTTTTTGAACATAAGAAATGCTTCTGATTTGCGTCGAATTGGAAACACCCATGTAAATTTAGTATAATCGTCATGAAATAAAATATAGTAACGAAAACCAATAAAAGAGGGAATTGGAGAGGTCCAAATATCACTGTGAATCAATTCAAATGAAGAAGTAGAAGAAGATATAGATTCCTTAAATGGTAGTTTTGTGTGCTTGCCAAGTTGACAGGCATTACAAAGAAAATCTAAACGCTTTGAAAAAGAACATTGCAAATTATTATTTCTAACTAGACTAGAAAGAACACCTATACTAGGGTGGCCTAGACGACGATGCCAGAGAGTTGGAGAAGCATGGGAAACAACAAAAGCATGATGAGCAGCAACCGCAGGAGTTGATGGAGAGAAAGAGTAAAGGGGACCCGAACTATTGCACCTGAGAAGAATTCTCTTCGTCTGGAAGTCCTTAATTGAAAAAACCAAAAGCATCAAAGTCAATTGAACATTTATTATCAGAAGTAAATTTACGAACACTTAATAAATTGCAAGAAAGAGTTGGAACAACTAAAACATTTTTTAGAGAGAAAGTGGAAGAATGAGTAGAGAATGTATTATTACCGGTATAAGAGATGGGGAGTTGATTACCATTACCTACCATAACACGATCATTACCATTATAGGGTTGAACAGAAGAGAGATGCGAAGGATTAGGTGTCATGTGTGAAGAGGCTCCCGTGTCAACATAC